CCCCCCCCCCCCCTCCGCAAGCCTCACCGCATTGTCGTCGCCGCCGGCTGGAGTGACCCCCCTCGTCACCCTGTCGCCGCCACGCCCCGCAGCCGGCAACACGGGGTCAGTAACGGATTCGGCGGGGGCGAGATTTGTCCAGATATCGCACGTGCCCGCTTTTCGGCCGTCTGGTCCCTTTGTAGCCACCTGGCAGCGCCACCTACTGCTGGCGGTGTCGAAGTGTGCAGGGATTGGAGGGAGAGGGTTCCCGGCGGGCCCCCAGCCCCAGGATAGCGTACCGTCCTGGTGTGCCAAGAGGTACATCTCTTCCCTGAAGTTGGTGAGGGCGGAAGCGGCCATAAGTGTCGCGAACGCGTCGTCTTCTTGGTCCGTGGCGCTGTCACCGGCTTCCCCGCTGCTGCAACTGGTGGTCTTCCTTCTCCCTCGACTTCGCCGCCCGTCGCCGGTAAAATCGTCGCCGTTGCTATTGCTCGGCGGCGGTGTTCCTGCTGCTCCTGCCTTCTCTCGCCCGCTGTCCCCTATGCTGCCGCATTTTGCATCATCAGGTCCGGCCGCTGCTTCCACCACCGGGATGGAAGAAACCCTTTCCGCCAATGATCGCTCCCTTCTAACCAGGCTGGTAGCAACACAGGCGTCAGCTTTTCCGCCCGCCTCTTGCTGTGGAGAGGAGACTCCTGGGGTGTGCGCGGGGGCAGAGGCGGCTGCCGGCGGCACTTTCTTGGCGGCTGATGAAATCGGTTCCTCCCCGCTTCCTGGGCACCGCTCCACGTGTGTCTGGGCCAGAGACGAGTGCACCGACTTCCCGCATAGCGGACACTTCACGAAACGAGAGCCTGACGGTGATGCCGCTGATGGCGACGGTGATGATCGGGGACGCTTGGCTGAAGACTGGACATGTTTCGATCGTGTGCTGCTGAAGGCCTGTTTCTTTTTACTGGCCGCTCGAGGTTGGGAGAACAATGATGCGAAAGCGTCGCACTCCATAGGTGGTGCAGCAAGAGAAGAAGAATGAGGAGGTGTATATCCTCTGTCACACACGCAAGCACACCACGGTGATGCTTTGACGTTGCTTAGGTTCCTCCCCTATGGGCGGAACGGGTGAAATGCGGCGCAACTGGCTCTGGAATATTGTGTATTGTGAATATTAAAAAAAAAAAATCTGGAATCAAAATCAAAATCAAAATGACAACATCTGGAAACAACACAGCTAGTAGTATCCCCACACGCGCAACCTCTCATTCCTCCCTTGTCAAACACAAATGATGTAGCATGCATGAACTGATGAACTCTGTCTTTACTTATGGTCCGCGCTGCCCACAAATGGGAGAGATAGCCATACCTCCTGCGTACACATGGACGAGAGAGGTGAACATACCCATTGCATTTAACACACACCCACATGTCGGTGATGAAACTTCATCAACCACACGCCTCTATCGGCGACCATGATGAGAAAATGTTCTCGCGTGCCCTTCGCAAATTCAAGGACATGAAATCACACAATCGGGCGCCCCGGTGGTCTAGTGGTAGCCGTGCAGCCTGTCAAGGGTCAGGTTGTGAGTTCGAGTCCCGGCAGAGAGGGTTTTCTTGTTTTTTTCTCACTAAATAAATCCTGGTCAACTAGGATGAAAGCGACGCGCTGCAAAGCTCGTTCGTTAGTAAACCATAATCGA